ATACTGAGTAGGTATCGATACCTTGTTTGATACAATTACAAGTACTGCCTTGATGGTATCGATTTATCCCTATCTACCACTCAAGGTCTGAGATCTACCACATATTCGCGTTTTTCAGTAGTTTTATTTTTGCTTGACATAATTTTCTTAATTTTAAGAGCAAAAATTGTCAAACACTAAACAATATATCTATGGTAACAAGAATAATATAATACAAGATTCCGCATTCCCGGCGATGATGAAATTTCTCTAGTAAAAGTAAACAAAGCCGAATGAGAAAATATGTAAAATAGTAAATTTTCTCAGTAACCAATTTTTCGACGGGAAATGTGGTTTTATTGTGTTAAAATTCCAGAATATATGATTTATAACAAGAATTAATAGCGAAAATGTTAAAAACGGCGACTTTTGTGAAAGTATTAGCAAATTTAAGTGCATCTAAGGTTTTTGAGGCGTTGTTTACTTTTACTTGAGAGTTGTCAAAATCGGCAAATCCCAATTGGCTGTTTCTGGAACGTGGCACATTTGTTCGCTACTTCGTGATGTGATAAAAAAAAAAAAAGCTGACAGTACTCCCTAAGGTCGCAGAAATCTCTTAAAATATGTTATTAAAATATCTTAAGGCCCGTACACATAGAACTTTGGCGTTGCGTTGGTGCCGCTTCAACAGCTGACTATGAATACATGAATTCAAATGCAGCCGTCCACATAGCCAAAATTATCTACATTTTTTTGCAATCTACATTTTTTTCAAGATTCTACCACACAGAATTTTCCTAGAGTCCGATCACTGGCGCACACCACTGAATTCGCCCAAAATGCTGTCAGCCATTTTGAGCGAATAATTTTACACGTGAATGTGTGCGCCGAACACGTAAAAAAGGAAATTCGAGTCGCTATTTTATAGCAAATCAGCTTTTCACAAACTTTTTTTTTTTATTGAACGTATTTTTAATGGTGAGTACTTACCGATTTTTATAACTAAACCAAAGTTGTTCTAAAAGTTACTAATTGCGGCAAGATTATAATCTGTAGTAAACTATTTTACTTTCACACACGCGAGTTATTTCCTATACAAAGAAAGCAAGATCCACTGTCCTCATCCGCCGGCTGTACGAAAGAAACTTGCGCAGCGAAATCGAACTGTCAAGTCAAATGTCACCTATATGTCATAATTTGTAATAGATTATTTACGATGTGATGAGTTGCCGTGGTAAACTTTTTAAGGAGTGATTCTTACATCAATTCTCTCCAAGGTACACCTACCCTGGGTATGAATCACGTATGACGAAAATCGTCTGAACGATATCGTGTCGAGATTATCTTGCTTTATAAAAATCAAAAATTTTTTGATCGTTTGTGCGATACCGTGAACTCTATTCCAGTTTTGCTTCACGTAACAGTAACACGTAACAGCAACACAAATGCATAAATCAGTGTTTTGACAACATCGTTATGTCAGTATCGTTTGAACGACTATCGTTTCAAAGTTACGTGATTCATGCCCTGGGATTCAGTAATTCAGTCTCATCTCAATTCACTAAATTTGAGATTAGCAATTAGTGACTATTTTTGTGACTTGAGATGATTTGGCTCTTCAGTAGGTGAGAGTCGCAAAAAGTTCACCAAAAATGTGTGGTGAAAACAAACACAGACATCAACTGATAGCGTTTATGTATGATTTCTGCCGCGCCGCACGAAGGTCGAAACAGGGAAACAAATGTCAGCGAATAAGAGCAAAGCAAACTTCGAATAATGAAGCACTTTTACTACTATTCAGCAAAATTCCCTTCGAGGTCAAAAAAGAGACCACACGCTTTTTCTAAAGGTGAAATTAGTCAAGAACGCAGAACTTATACTTAACCGCAGTCTGTATACGCAGAATTTTGTCGATTACTGGAGCCCTCAGTGTTGCTTACTACAGTGTTGCCACTCATCAAAGCCTTTTCATAAACTTAACTTTTCAACTACAATTTATCGTGCTATAATAGATGCTAGCTAAATATAAACTACTTATTTTTCAACAAAAAACCTTTCGATAGTAAATTTCAAATATTTTAAACGTATTTTGCACAGGAACTTATAACGTTTTTAACATCTGCAAAACTGATAGCCCGAACACAATGAAAACGACGAGCTACAAACCACAGCTGTCAAATTATTTTAACACGTACTCTTATGTAGATAATTATTTTGGGGACGACCGGGCTACGCGACGGCTGTGGTTGTGGCCAGAGTAGATCTATTTCTATTTTTCTGGCGACAGATAAGGTTCTTCCTCTTCTTTTATGTCAAACTCATACAAATTCATGATGTCGCTGCCGCGTTCAAAGAAATCATGTCGCCATCGACAAAGCGTTTAGATAATGAAGATGACAAATTGGAAGCTGTGGTCCGTAGCTCGTCGTTTTCAATGTGTTCAGAACTTTCTGCTTGAAACACAATACCCGGCGAACGGCGCAGTTCGCCGATTTGACCGATGCCGTCGTTCACCGTTCGCCCTGCTATTTCGCCTACTTTAAGACTGCTTTTACACAGTTCAAGTATTGAATTCAATTCTGCTCGCATGTGGAAGAGAGGGGGTGAGAAAAAAAGGGACGAGTACACATGCGTCTGTACCGTCAAGTCGTTTCAACTTTCTTGCTTTGCTTTTGGCATTTT